GAGAAACCATATAAATGCAATGATTGCAAAAAGAGTTTTAGCCAGAAATGTAACCTTGATGCTCACGTCAGGACCCACACCGGCGAGAAACCATATAAATGCTATGATTGCGAGAAGAGGTTTAGACTGAAACAGCAACTTGATGTCCACGTCAGGGCCCACACAGGCGAGAAACCATACAAGTGTGACTCGTGTAACAAACGGTTTAAACAGATAAGTCACCTTAAAAAACACGTCAGCACGATCCATACTGGCGAGAAATAATATACTTGTGCCATTCGTAAATAGAGTTGGAACCGTGATCACCATGTCTGGATCCACCATATTAACGAGACATATCTGGCATTTGTTCGGAGCGTTCCCAACACAATTTTTGTTTCTTAATCTAACTTTCGTTGAATGGTCACTAAAGAAATCCGTTATATCCTGTGTGTAATATTTTTGCTAGTTCGTACGAAATGTTAAGTTGTCATCAGATAAAATTGCAATATCTTCAGAATTAAATAAAACTTTTAATGTGTCACCCTTTTATTGGCTTTGTTTGCACATGTACCCTCCAATCAGGCTTAGTCGTGTAGTGGTGCAAGTGGTCAGGGGCAGACCGTCTGCACACAGTTTTGACGACCGCGCGCGTTAGGCACGGTTCTAATAAGACTCTGCACTCTGCGGCCTCTGGATGAGGTTGCTACTGTACAGTTAAACCTCCGTAGATGCAACCTCCGTAGATGCGCATATTATGGACCGGCCCCTGCCCCGAAAAATGAAAACGTTTACGCGACTCTCCCCTAAGCCGGCTTGATTGACAGGCTGTACTCCGAGTGGAGCACGGGCTCGAGCATTGCCTGGCCCAGCCCGCGCCGGACGGGCATCGCTGGCCGGCCGACCAGCAGCGGGTGCGCAGTGTCAGACGTCGGGCAGGCGGGGCTGGGGCAGGCAGCGATCGGGCAGGCGCGACCCACCTCTCGGGCGAGGTGACACACAATAGACTTTATGGCCCCGCGAGGCTCCGATCTCTCGTCAACTAACATCTGGCAAACGTTTTGACAACCTCCATATTTGCAAGAGCTCGGTCCCGATTGCTGGGCATCTACGGAGGTTTGACTGTACGTGTCTGGTCAAACGTGTGGTATATCTGATGAGTTTTTAGTCTTTAGGCCATTGCAGTCGTTATGTTTCCAGGGTTTTGTTTGTCAATATTATGAACAAATTTCGACCTCATTCAAAAAAAATTGTATTTATCTGACTAGAATAAAACTGACATTGTGACCTACACTTAATTGCTTACTGCTTAAGACGAACGTGTGCATGTTGGTGGTAGCTGTGGTGGTGGCCTCTCCTATCGGCTCCCCCGTACGTTCTGACGCGGTGCTCCTGTTGCAGGT